GTTGGTGGCCATTGCTAGTAGGTTGGAGGGCATTGCTGGTAGGTTGGAGGCCATTGCTAGTAGGTTGCTGGTAGGGCGGAGGCCATTGCTAGTAGGTTGGTGGCCATTGCTAGTAGGTTGGAGGGCATTGCTGGTAGGGCTGGTAGGTTGGAGGCCATTGCTAATGGGCTATACAGTTATACAGAGGCCTTTGATTGGACTCGTACCTCCCAAAGCCGGTCTTCAGCTTCTTCGGCTCCGTTGACCGTCCAGGTCTTCAGCTCCAGCACTCCAAGAGGTCGGACGCTGGTCCTTCCACAGACACGTCAGGTGCGGGGCATCCGTCGCCTTTGTAGAAACAAGTTTTCCTCAAACTGTTTACTGTTGGGGTTCCCTCTTAGGAACAAAGAAGCTGGCCACAGTCTCTGGCCGCACCGGTTAACACTGTGTCTAGGCAGTGTCCGCGCCGATCTCCAGACCTTGCGCAATCAAAGGGTCCAATGCGAGAAAACACTAATTTGCACACGGGCAAGCCTTGTGTGGCACCTAGTGGGAAAGCGCCAGCCCGCAAGCGCGAAGACCGCAGTGCCGCAGCATGGCCCAACATGCATGTCCTTGTCCTCTCTTCTTGTTGTTGTCCTTCTTCAGGTGTTCATTGAGGTTCCGGCGGAGGTTCCCGATTAAGTTCCGGAGCAGGTTCGGAGGAGCTTCCGAAGCACTTTGCAGATATGCTGACATGCTGTTATGCTGACATCGTCATGGGGTAATGCTGACATGTCATCACGCTAGCACGTTGTCACGCTGTCAGGGTTGTATGGCGCTGTCATGTCGACATTCTAACATGTTGTCACTCTGTAGTGCTGATCTGCAAGAATATATAGCTATGTCATGCTGACACACGGTTTCTGCTGCTGCTAGCATGCTGTCTGCTGGCATGCAGTGTGTTGTCACGCGGATATGGCGGCCTGGTGTTGTGTTGGCGTGTTGAGAATAATGCCGTCGTGCGGTCACATAGACACGCCGACATGTCGTCATATCCTGGCATGGTGTTACGCCCAACATGTTGTCAGGCTGTCGTGCTGACACGTTGTCATGATGCAACGCTGACATTTGTCACACTAACATGCTGGCGCGATGTCACGCTGAGATGCTGAAGTTGCGTCATGCTGATATGCCGGGTTCCGGGGCAGGTTCCCTGGCCCTTGCTTGTTGCAGCATTGCCATGCTGGCACATAGGTGGGCACATATGTGCTACGCCCACATATTGCTATGTCGTGGTGCCTGCGTGGCACATCAAACAGGTTCACATGTTTCAATCAAACATAGCCTGGCAAAGGCACAACACTTGTTGGTCAGCCTGCGATGTTGCCATTGCCTGATACGCAGATACATGCCCGGCCGGCTGTTGATATTTTTATGGGTTTATTCACGTGGCCCGTTCGGTGAGGTGACACCAGTTTGGATGTCTTGCTTCATCCCCGAGTCTTCTGGTGCGAGCCGGAGGACGGTCAGGACGGCAAGGTGTGGGTGTTCTTTGGAAGAGGATGGAATTATGGAGCGTTTGATCAAAAACACCACGGAACAGTGTCTGATGTGATCTGATCACCTAGACCAATGGTCAGTGCCCCAGATCGCTGGTTTTTTATTTGAAATGAACCCTGGAGGACAGCATCAACCCACAACAATTCCTGAGGGTGCAAGGCATCACGAGCCTGCGCTCTCTCAGCAATGCCATGTCTCAGGTGAGGGACTTTTTGTAGGGTTTTCTTCTGCTATGGCTGAAACAGGGTTTCTTGACGCACCTTTGACCTATGGGATCCTATGGGTTGCTTGGAAGCTTTCAACACAAGTTCCACTGGTGAAACTCACAGTCTTCCACAGGAATTGAGAGACAGGCCCCGAACTCAAAACCACTTTACCACAGACAGCGCTGAACTCTGCAGGTCGCGAAGCACCACTTGGCTGAGCAGAAGCAGACAGCGAAGCTGCTCCGGGTTCGGCTCTTCCGGTGGCTCCAACATCCGGGCAGCAGCTTCAGGTTTTGGTGGGATAGCATGGGGATGGTGCTGCTGTGCTACGATCTCATTGTGTTGCCCCTCAAGGCCTTCAACATCGGAAGGCCCTTCTTTCTGACTCCGGTGCTTCTCGGTGAGTCAAATGGGTCGTATACCAAGAGAACGAATTCAGCGATCAACTTCACGCGTGGCTTCGGTCGAAAGACGACCCAGAAGACTTCGAACCCCTCACCCAGTTACCCCTGTCAACGTGGCAAGCTTTTTGGGTGGTTGATCCAACTCTTTGTGAACACAGAATTTTTCGGGTCAGGTATGGAAAGGTCACGTTGACTTTCGGGGAATGTCGTGGAAGATGTGGACACCAGCAAATGCTTGGGGTAGTATGGCTTTGTGTTCCATCCAGAGACTGGGATTTTTTTGTGGATTTGATGTGGAAGATGAATTTATTCAGGTTTTGGATCTCGCTCTTATATTGGACCGCCTGCATCCCTTTGTGCTTCATTGCTGGGTATGCTGATACGCGTGGCTTACTGGTGCTGAACCTACAGAGGACGATTCCGAGGTATGTAGCTTGGGCAGAACTGAAGGTGTCCACAGAACACCCCGACCAGTTGGAGGCCATCGCTATTAGGTTCGAACCAATAGCGATGGCCTCCAACCTATTAGCAATGGCCTCCAACCTGTTGGCGATGGCCTTCAACCTAATGGCGATGGCCTCCAGCAAGGTGTCCAGAGAGATTACTATCAGTTGTGAGGTCTCAAAACGTCTCCAGGTCTCAAGGTGGGGTACAGCCATTTGTTTACCTCCGTTCGGGAGGTCTTGAATGTTTGCTTCTGTTTTTCTTTCTTCAGGAGCTGTTTTTCACACGTTACACGTGCGGAGTTCCAGGAAGGCAGGAGCTCACTAGGATTGTGTAGCCCAGGGAGAAAGCTCAAGTCGTGCAATTTCTTCTGAAGGTGAAGAGGTCAAGTTGTCTCGGTGTATGGCACAAATTTCACATATCGACAGGGGTTGGACCAATTTGGATGCTCTTTTGCATGGTGTTTTTTGTTGTTTCTCCCGTTTGTACAATGTATACCTTTGCAACTACGACCCGAGGCAAGAGGATGGTTTATCTTCGACTTGGTCTTGATCAGCTTCGATTGGATCATCCTCGCCACGGACGACTACATGGACGCTGCCTCGGGAGCTGAGTTGCGCTTGCTGCGGACCTTGGGGCGCTTGCGCTTTCTGAGGCTTTTGCGAGTGGGGCGAATGGCTTGGACCGTCGGCTCAGTCATGCAGTCTGTGAAGGATCAGCTGAGTTCCAGAATGTCGAACATTCAGTCTCCTGGATTGGAGCTGAGGTCGAGGCCGTATCCGGTTCGAGACCCCTTCAACAGGGCCCCTTTTCTCTCCGTGGTTTTTCAGACATGTGGACCTGTCCTTCATCAAATCACGGGGGTCATGGTATCCCATAAGGCGTTTCATGGTTTTTGTGCAGGGGGTGTGGTGGTTGGAATTTATAAAGGGAAAGGTGTCTGTATGCAAGAAATGGAAGGCTCCGCGGGCGTCAAATGCTGAACAGAGGGTTCTGGCGTGTCTTGTTTACAGCTAGTTTCCGATCATTGCTGAGACAGATTGTGACCTGAGGTTGAGTGACTTTATAAACACGGGGGATGACCACCAGTTCATATGCCTCCGCGTTTGGTTTGACCTGGAAATCAAATCAACCTTCAATCACCATGCACGCTCACAAATCCTAAGTTCACCTTGTGAAGCTTCAACCATTCCTCAGTGAGAATGTGACAAGTGGCACCTGAATCAATAAGCCAATGGGTCTTGAGATCCTTTCCCAAGCCCTCAGTGCTCAATCAGTGCTCAAGAGGATGAGTGACACTATGAACTACCGGCTCACTGGTGGGAAACCCTGACCCCTCAGTGCTCGAACTCCCCGGGACAGCACTTGAAACTCTCCAGGCTTGGACCTGACAACCATGGCCGCTTGGCCCTCCTCACTATAAACTCCCTGTGAAGATCCCCCCGTATGTCCACACATATATGATGTTTTTAGCTGCCAGGTACGGCATTGTGAGGATCGTCTTCCAACTGCTACTCTCGAATCACATCATCGCTTGCCTTTGGTTTCTCCTTGGAAGTGAAGAGAATCCTGATTCAACCTGGGTCGAACAGATGCAGCTGAAGAGCAAGCCAGCCGAATTCCAGTATACCACCAGTCTCGTGGAGGAGCTTGGTGTTCTTTTTCGTTGCTTTTAGATGACAAACAGATCGTGCTTTCGGGCATTTTGGGTGTCTTTTAATACACCACTCTTGAGAGAGGGCACCCCTCGCGCCGTTTTGTTGCTGTCTCCGGGGGAAAGATGGTTGCCCACGCTCTGAAAGCCCACATTTGTAGCGCTCAGCGAAGAAGGTCGTGGAATGTGAGCCAAACCTCCTCGAGCAACCTGCGTTTCGATTCAATGTCATGGGACTCGCCCCAGTTCCCTAGTTCCCAGTTCAGCAACCTGCCAGGACGATTCCATGTGAGGGATGGGCAAACACATTTTCAACGACTGTCCTCTATGGTCTGGGATGAGCCGCTCCAAAACGACATACCACGCACCACACACACTCTGACATTGGTTTTCAGTTAACTCAATTGCCACGATGGGAAGGAAGGTGAGAAACGGTATGGTGGAGAGTCCGCAATACTTGAAGATGTTTTAACAAAAGCTGTTTCGCAAGTCTGCAGAACTCAACGGTCGAGCAAGTAGAGGAAGCGACTATAAACCTCTGGGGCCTGGAGGTCTTGAAGAGGAAGCAAGGCCAAAAGCTCAATGCGTGACTGCAGAAAAGGTTTAAAAATTGAAAGGCAGGTACGTCAGTGCTGGCCGGGCACTGATATCACATCCACTTGGTGCGGTCTTTGTTAGATGAGGCACACCAAGGGATCCTCATCCCCCTGCTTCTTTTTTGCGCGCTTTGTACATGTTAAAAAATTGACAAGCTGTGCGCTAATAGCGATACTAGGAGCCTTTAGTAGCGAAACCGGGGGCCCTTAGTAGCGTCCTTTGTGACTCGAAACCTTAGGGACAGGTGTGGACACACACACGGCGCCGTACTCGGCGCGCTCTCCTACCTGCAAACTAGTAGTGAGGCCAGAAGCCCCTAGTAGCGTCCTTGCTCCCCGTAGACCGGCCAGAGGCCCCTATAGTAGTACCGTCCTTGCTCCTAGTAGCGATCTGTTGGCAACAACTTTGTACACATAACGCCAATATTGGAGTTCCGGAAAACTACTAGTCACCTAAAAAGCCTTAGAAAGACAGACCAAGAAAACAAAACAAGAGCAGACTAAGAGGGCAAGAAGGAAAGATAGGCATAGTGACGAGGCCCACTTAGTTAAATGAAAGTACTTCGCGAGCGGGACTTTTGTCTTAGACCGCTCGGGTAGCTAGCAATAGATAGGAGAAACAGAAGGAAAGGCACCAACACACAAGTGTGTTGAGTGCGATTTCCTTTTGTTTCCCGAATAGCAGGTGGGATAGCAACAGAGGCCTGGGGTGGGGGGGGAAAAAGTGACACTAGACATTACTGCAGGTTCGAAGTCGGAACATGTAGTGACTCATAACGACACATGACGGTGCAAGTGGATTCAGTCTGTCAAAAAGGAACTCCATCGTTTATAGCCCGGCGGCTCGAAATTCCGTTAATTCAGTTATGGAAGTGAACACCAAGGAAACAGTTATAAGAATGAAAAACCGATGCATTCCGGAATGATAACAGCGCCTCCTTGCGGAGGGTCACACCCAGCACCCAAGTGGGAAGACTGAGCGGCTCACACTCTGACATTGGTTTTCAGTTAACTCAATTGCCACGATGGGAAGGAAGGTGAGAAACGGTATGGTGGAGAGTCCGCAATACTTGAAGACGTTTTAACAAAAGCTGTTTCGCAAGTCTGCAGAACTCAACGGTCGAGCGAGTAGAGGAAGCGACTATAAACCTCTGGGGCCTGGAGGTCTTGAAGAGGAAGCAAGGCCAAAAGCTCAATGCGTGACTGCAGAAAAGGTTTAAAAATTGAAAGGCAGGTGCGTCAGTGCTGGCCGGGCACTGATATCACATCCACTTGGTGCGGTCTTTGTTAGATGAGGCACACCAAGGGATCCTCATCCCCCTGCTTCTTTTTTGCGCGCTTTGTACATGTTAAAAAATTGACAAGCTGTGCGCTAATAGCGATACTAGGAGCCTTTAGTAGCGAAACCGGGGGCCCTTAGTAGCGTCCTTTGTGACTCGAAACCTTAGGGACAGGTGTGGACACACACACACATGACACACATCAGTTAAGGAGCTGCAGCCATGCGCAGCCTGAAAACGAGTGGCAAATCAGTTTGGACCCTTAGGTCTTTAGACCCTCCCGAATCCAGTCCTGGAGGTGTAACGGGTGGCATGAGGGGACCTATAGGGGACATGTAGGAGGCCATGTAGGTGATCTAGGTGGCATGGCATTGGTGTTTTCTACCAAGATATGCCTGATTCTCTTGCAACCGCATGGGAGGGACCCAACGGTCGCTCACGGTCGCGAGTGGCGGGTGCAAGCGAACTTGTCGCCATGATCAGAGAGAGATGATCTCAGTGCATAATACACTCATCTATCAGGAACCCTCGTCACCCTTTTGGGATGCTACAACAGATTCCTAAACGAACATGAACTCTTCATGTTTGATTCCAAGACTGAAATGTCTCAACCTGGGACGGCACAGTCTTTGCTTTTGGGCTTCTTCCTTTGTCTTTCCTCAGCCATTCCGTTTTGACTTTTTGCTTCGTCTGCCACTGCTCGCGTGGTCGGAGCGGCCTGAGCTGAGGTTTGTATTGGGCCTTCTCACAGCTTGGGGTGGGCCAGACTGAGATCGAAGCGGTGAACCTTCACGAGCGGCCACTTGGAGTGCGCTATTCTTTGCCGAAACCTTCACCATGCAGGGTTAATTGGTCGGGGGTTGAAACCAAGAGCGAAGGCGGACCCAGTTCGGGGCGGCAAGTCTTGGGGTGTCTGGGAACATGGATGGACATGGGACATGCACTCGGGACGCCTAATCAAACGCAGGACTTGGCCCCAGGATGGGCTCTAAGGAAGCCGTCCACACACACAGCCCTCAACCGTGTTAAGTTTGCTCATCTATATAGACCCTCAAAATCGCTCAAAAAGAGAGAAATGTAAAATACTATAAACCCCCTTTTAACATGTTGGGGACCACTCTAATTCTAGTCCCAGCACTCGACACCGGCCCTGAGTAGGCCGGTTTTGACCAAGCGGTCACTTTGAGGCAACCTAGGTAGTTCATGAAAGCAAACTCCCACAAAGACAAACACATCTCGAATCTGGTTCTGGCCCTCTCGATGCCCTGGTGGTTGGATGCCTCATGTGTTTTGAAGCTTTCTGAAGTCACCGAGGATCTTCTCGATTGTCATCAGTTTCCTGGCATTGATCAACTTCTCCACGATGGTGAGTTCGATGACCAGCCTGTTGGAAAGCCTTCGAAAGTTGAAGGACGAAGAGACCGAGCCTGGGTCGATCACCCTTAGTCATCTCGGAGTTCAGTCCGAACGAGCCGCGGGTCGTGTTCCCCCAAAAGCCGAACTGGGAGCCGAACTGGGAGCTACAGGGAGTGAACCCCGACAGCTAGCAAGTGCTTTGATTGACCCGTTTTCCGGTGCGGTGTATGCGCAGGTTCCGGATGCGCAGAACCCAGCCCAGTGGATTTCCTGGATTTCAATCTGATAGTGTATCCAGCAGCTTCACAGACTTGTTTCCGGATATACTGGGCAGAGCACGAGATCCACAACCTTAGCCAGATTGTGATTTTTGCAGGTCCACAGACCTCTTTCCTTTTGATTGCCAGCTCCAGACGTCTGAGAATGCTTGGAGCTCCAGACACCGCCTTTTTTATTGCCGGAAAGCCACTCGTCCCATTCTTCAGTCGAACAAAATCCAGACAATCTCGCAGCGTCCGATCGCTCCGTTCGTAGCGATGCCCTTTGTTTCGGTCGTAGCGAAGCTTGTTCCGTTCGTAGTATGGCCAGGAGCTACGAACGTAGCGTCCTTGCTCCTTTGATTGCGCAAGAAAACGCCTACTCTTCCCGTTTGCCACAGTCGATGCTCGGGCACAGGAACAATTCAGCTTACTGCGTCGATACTTGGCCTCCAACAGCATTGATCCAGACCTCTCCCTCCGCATTACCAGCTTTTTGCAGCATAGCTTCAGCTGCTCGGAAAGACATGGGGTGACGTCTACGAAGGGATCCTTCGGGGATTTCCATGTCGACCACTGTTCGGAGCATTGATGGTTTTTCCAGGGCGTTAGGAACCCAAAGAGCAAACACGTGGGGACTTTACGAGGAACAAGGTTCGCTACTTTACGTTCGGGGCTCCTGGCCGCACTACTACGAACGGAGCGTTCGGACGCTACTAGGAACAACGGGCATCGCTACTCGTAACAAATGGGACTCCGTTTTGATGTGCAGAACCGAACCTTCTTCATGGGTTCGGGACTCCGGTCGTCGTTGTTCCTTCGGGAGTTGGATGGAATGGACCGGCCGAACACATGCATTCCACTTGGTGAGCTGACATTGTGGACTGGAAGCAGTTGATGAACACCTGGAACATGTACGGGTTGGCCCCGCCTGCTTGTGGGGTCCGAATGTGATGGATCTTTTTGATAGAAGGAAGACAGGGTGACTTGTCGACTGCAATGATTGCTGCTGTGACTCCTCATTCTCCAAATCTTCATCCTCCTCACCAAGCACAGAATCAGTTGCTGGGCGGTGACGCGGCCACCTCACGAGGCTTGAAGAAGAAAGCCACGTCGAAGGATGGTGAGCTGCCCATCTTGGGGATGCTTTCAAAGTCCCTCAGAGAGGAGCTGCAACTGCAACGGCACCTGGAATGCTTGCAGAACCACGCCTTCCTTGGAGCCTCTGTGAATGTTGGAGCCGTCCGAACATAGAATTGGATTCCCCTGAAAAACGGGTTCTTTCATGTTCTTTCCATCCTTGTTGCAGGGGAAATCGATTTGGGTGCTTTTCATGAACAAACACCGAGACAGATCGAATCGGCGCCGTTCGTCCAAACTCGTTTGGTCGGACACGAAGACTCCGGTGAAATCACCGGAACATCACGTGTCCTGTGGTGAGACGAAACGAGATCAAGTGACGGAGGAAGCCTTTCAAGTGACTGTTTTTTTGATAACATCAGTTTGACCTGCTTCTTGTTACGTTTGTAGTGAGCATGCTCCGTTCGTCGCGATGCCAGGAGCCCCGAGTAAGTAGCGTCCGAACGCTCCGTTCGTAGGCTGCGGCCAAGAGCCCCGAACGTAGCTTCTTGCTGACGGGGGGTAAGTGGAGCTGTGAACCTCTGGTTCTTTTGGTGAGAGTCACTCCGTCACTCAGAAAACACAGCCAATTGGTGGTTTGGGTTGACGCTTTGGATTTCGAGATGTGCTCGAAATTGGCTTCGATGGCTGCTTCGACGGGACTCCTCTAAGACCATACTCCTTGTCCAAAAAGACTTAGTGGAGAGAGGAAGAGAGAGGTTCAGCAAGAAAGAGAACTTGTTCTCCTCGGTCCGTTTGACTCTGTAGCTTGGTCCGCCCTTCGCCCCTGGACCCCTCGAACAATCCTCAGGCTTGCTGTTGGAGAGTGAGGACTACAACACGCGCCGCGTGCTGTGCAAGATGGCGACGCAGCTGCAACATTCGGTCCTGGCACTGGATGACGTGGTCTTCTCCGCACAAAGTATGGCCAACAGCTGCTCATCTCACGATTGGATCTATAGAGGGGGGAGGTGGATTTATATAGACCGCCAAATATATAGATAGAAAAAGTAGATCTCCACTAAACATGTATCGGAAACAGTGCCACTATCTATGTAAGGGGACCACTCTTTTGGGGCTTTGACCCTGAGGCCCCCAAGTCTTCGATTATAGAGAGATACAGTCTGGTGAGTGCTCGGCTGGTTTGAGGTTCGGCCAGGGTAGCCGCTATGGCATTGGTAGCAGTTCTTGAGTTCACTCTTTTGTTGTTTTGGTTGGACTAGCTGCCTGTGAAATTGATTGATGACAAGAGAAGATTGGACGGGATTGCTCCGAATGCATGTTCTTGGATGTTCTTGGCCAGGGTTAGGGGTATTGGGAGCTGATCTTTGCACAAATGACATTCAGCATGGGAGTTTTCATTTTCGCCCCATGTCTCGGCACTCTCATTGTACGAGAGCCTATGCCTGCCGAGTGACTAAAACAACTAATGGCGATGGCCTCCAACCTAATAGCGGTGGTTTCCAACCTAATAGCCTGCTGTTACGCCGGAGAGAACACCTCGTTCACTCGTTTTCTTCACACATCCTTCCCGGCCACGTCGACCGACTGTGAGGTTGCTTTTATGTGGCAGAGGGCAATTGTTCGTATGAACAGCAAGATCTCGCACCCTTGCCACTCGCTCACCGAGTTCGCCACGACGGAAGGCCTAGGCGTTCGGAATCGACCACCCCGGAGAACGGGTCTGGCACGAACGGTGGAGGTCCAGGACGAGGATGAATGATTTGTGATGGATTCGAACACGCTTCGTTGTGTTCGCTCATTTTGTTGTGTCCGTGCCTTCTTCAGCAATTACGGTGATTGAGCAATTACATGTGTAGGGTATTGGCACGAGAATGTGAGGGTATTGGCATTCACACTTTTGGACGCCTTTCAGGTTGATCAAAACCTTTGGATACCTTTTTGGCTTTCTTTACAAATCCTTTTTGTTGTGTCTTCACACTGAGGATGTTGTGTGGCACCTGGGCAGCAGAGATGTGTCTCTGGACACCTTGGATTCACACAGGGCACTTGGTGTCCAAAGACATCTCCCGCCTGATCACCCTGGAGGCGTCGCATCTCGCCTTCTCGTCGCTTCTCCGTCGCCTTCGCGCCCGACGGGCCCGACGAACGGCGACCGGAGCGTCCGTCGCTCGGCGACGTTCTGCGCGGAGCACAGTTCGGCGGGTTCGCCTACCGCGCGTGGCAGGTGACCTCCTTCTGTGAGTGTATCAGCCGTGACCGCGGAGTCTGGTCCCTGGCCGCGAACTACGCCCAGCGATTTGTAGGGGAACTGAATGAAGAAGGCCACTTGGAGTGAGACTTCATGTCGAATGGGCAGTTGGACATGCACTAAACGTCAAGACATTACTCTCCCTGAAATAAGAATGGACCACCTTAGCCCTTAGCCATTCGTTGGCTATAGAGGTGAAAAGCCGATTCTGCTAGCCTCGCTAAGTGTCAGCGCCCTGTGCTTGGTCACTCTTTTTGTTGGATGCATGTTTTTGTTGTCTCCCCTTTCCGAACCTCAAATTGACGTACTGAGATCTGACATCTCGAGTTTCCAGTCGAGGTTTACCTCTTGGAATCTCTGTCTTTTCTCACTTCGTTGCAATAGGACATTGTCATAGCCTACTCGACACCGGACTTCGGTCAAGGGGTTGGGTAGGACGGCATGAAAGCCGTACAGTCTGCGTGTAGAGGAAAATGGTCTTGCAAGGGGCCATGTTCCACTTCCATGATGATTCCAAGGCGTGTAGCTCAGTTGGCGAAAATCGTTCGATGAAACATGAGGGCACATGCTGTTGTTTTGGGTGTTCTTGCTGAATCCTTGGTCAAGCCCCTGGACAAGTTTGGAACTGTTCTCAACTCAGTTGCATTGACTCGTAAATGCTTGTGACACCCTGAATTACTTAGACAGCATGGAGTCATAGTCCTGGATGGATCTGGGATGCGTTTTTGATTGTAACCCCTGCGAAAGTGACTCTGGATTTCAAGTAGCTTTGCAAAATGTGATTCGAAAGGCATCGAGGCAGCCGTGGTTAACACATTGGGAAGCATCCCATTCAAAACCTGGGACCAGTTCAGAGTCCGAACTCGACTAATGGACCTCCGTTTGCTCAGGTCATTGGTCGGATTTGTCTCCAGAGTATCTCCAAGCAGCCTATTTACATGAGTCGGTTGGCTCTCAGAATTCTGTCCGGAGGAAGACTTGTCTTTGCGCGAAACGAACTTTTAAGAAGGTACTTCCGTCATAGCTGTCTAAAATGACGCTTTTTCATGCTTTTTCATGCGGCGGCTGACTGTACCCTGTGTTCTGTCCTCATTTCGAGACTCTTCTTGAGGGTTCAAGCAGGAGTTCCATGGCGGGGGTGGTATTGAGACCCATTCCAGGGAGTGGATTTTCTGGGCGCCTCAAAGCACCTCCATGGCACCTCACCCCCTCTTACTGAGCGACTTGCAAGCACATCGAACACAGCCGCAAATCAAAGAAGCTCCTCCCCGGCAGATTAGGAATCCAAATATTCAACCAACACAGGACACAGGACTGCAGCAGTTCATTTCAAGTGGGCCGTCACGCTGAGGTTTCAAGTGTTTAGCGTCAGTTCTCTGTTTTTTGGGGAGGCCTCGATTCCTCAGGCCACCCACAGAGGCATGCGAGGTACCTCCTCACGTTCCCACCGCGGTGGTGATCGAAGACGACCGCGTGAGATACCCCACTGACCCGTTGAAGCCACTCGTTTGGTGAAGGACCCGAACTGATTCGACACGTACACGAGAGATGGTTTTCTTCAAGTGCCACAAGGGTGACCGGATAGGCTCATTGGATGGCCTCCAAACCGCACACATGCTATTTTCGGAACCACTACACCTACTCAGCGTTTTGGGGAGATGCACTCAACTCACATGTTTTCTGAACAACAGAGCGGCCAGTCCTGGCGTCCGAGCACGTGAGTTCATCCACGCGCAGCCGAGTGGGTTCAACGATGGTCCAAATCGGCCACTGCCTCCACGCGCCCGACTGTGTTGTGAACGTTCTAGCAGTGCAGTGAAGAAGACCTGCCTCTTCGAGATCGGCGAGATCGGCACCAGACACCAATCAGGCAACAGCCTCCAATCTTCAACCCGACACCGTGGGCTTCCATGTTTCATCATGTTTCTATAGAATACAGTAAGTTGAACATCAACATATTGAAGGATGCTTACCATCTCGATCGATCACTCCTCTCTGAATGAAACAACGGGGCCAGTCCAGCCACACTTAGTTCATCCCAGAATTGAATGAATCACTCAATCCTCATGACCTGACAGAGCTTGTCCACGTGACAACCGTCCATGAGAAAGCAGGTCGTCCACCGTGGTCGTTCTCATCGGGCACCCGGGCTTCACTGCCCGACGTCTTCCGCGTCGGTTCGGAGGCCTCGCGAACTGTGGCCAGGGCCATGGCTTCAGGTTCGGTGAGGGTTTTGCAAAGCAACCTTTATCGATCCAGGCTCAGTAGCTCAGTAGCTGGTGCCTGAGGTGAGAAACCGCTTGCGCAGAGTGGTCAAAGTGGCAGACGCAGATTGGGGCTGTTAACCCAACACCCCAAAAAAGAGACCGAGTGCAAGATCTTTGCATCCTTGGGCCCAACAGAGGAGGGCAAGTGTCCAAGAAATGAACAGGTTGTCACCCATATTCACATATATTCACTCAATGTCACTCAGATCACTACGTGATCTTGTTAATGATTTGGCTGGCTGCCTAGTGTAGTCACCCAAGAAATCTGGGTCGGAGACCATATCAAATCCACCCTAAGAATCTGGACGGGCCCGACCGAACCTGCCATTTTTCGTGTTCAAAAAAGCAACCGGCGTTGCGCTGATGTTGGGGCGATGTGTTCTCGCTGTTGACACGTGGATCCTTCAATCAATTGCATTGACACCGTGGTGACGTGCGGATTTGAGACTCCTGCATCGATTGTATCGAGATTAAAAGAGAAACACCAACACAATTCTTCTCAATTCTTCTCGCGAAGAGTTCCAAAAGCGCCACTGTGGACGACACATGTCCCCATGTCTGGTGGATCATCGGGTCAGGCCGCGTACAAACGCAGCGCTCAGGTGCGCATGTGGGCTTTTGTCGCGCACTCCTGTTGCTGCAGTCCTTTGACTGGCATCGGGCTTCTTGGCCAAAGCTGGCACCACAAAGATGGAGCGTTTGCGGAGTGGGATCGCGGGTCTTATGGTTCTTTGGGCTTCAAGCAGATAAGCAAAAGCCGTGTTTCAAAGGGCCAAAGGAAGTCCAAGGCATCATATCAGAGAAGAACATTGTGATCCTGCTGGTTGGTGGAACCACCCAACCCACGAGTTTTCGAATCAGACTTTACTCATTTTTCAGCACTTGCCATGTTTTGTTGAAAGCTCCCAGTGTTGAGGGTAGGTACCGAGCCCCAGGGTCTTCTGCAGGAAGCTCTAATCGTGGACATCGACGGCAAGATTACCGAGGAGGAGAGCCACCTGCCGGGGTCAAGAGTTATATTAGTGGCTGTCAACGTCCATGGCACACCTCCAAGGCGACCTCCAACTCGATCCCGGAGCATGAGCCGAATGACCTGTTGTTTCCTGGGGAAGTATGTGAGTCAAAAGCTGAACATGGTCAATTTGGGATGTTTTCTCAACCCCCGCGGGCCTCAAGTGGATTTACCACCGGCGCACGAAAGAAGAACGTGAACATGCACACCACACGCAATCCGCTTGTGCTTGACAGCTTGACATGCTGTATGGCATGGTTGCAGAGGTTTGTAGCAGATTGCAAGCCGCACGGGCCTCACATCCTAGAGCCTCCAGACGGACTCCACGCTGTGGGTTGTGTGGAGAAGCCCCGTCGGACCAGCTGAGGGGTTCAAACACTTCTTCCAGTTGTACTTGTGCTGCAGATGGTTGGGACCTCGAGTGGATTCCTGGGTTTCGAACGAAAAACCACAAACTGATTAGATCTGATTAGAAGTGGACATAGAAGTGGACACCAAGAAGTGCAGACGCCACATGACTTCTTGTCCCTAAGTTCCGGTCCACCCAGACGACATACCCAGCTTTTCGTGGCACTCGTGGTTTCGAGAAGCCAGCGTGGTAGGAGCGTTTGAGTTTGCGGCAAGCTTATGAGAAGCACCTGAGCACCTTGGGCCCGAAAGCCTCTCAACTCTGCCGCTGCTGGGTGTCTTCGACGAAGCAAAGACCAGGGGGGGGCGGAGGTTTTTCGGAAATCCTAGGATCGAACGTTTGGAGGGAGGTGAAGCTCTGAAGCAGCAGATCATGATGAATCTGATTAGAGTTTCTGGAGAACTGAAGAAGATCTACTTAAGATGTAGGTGAAGAAAGCTGAAGCAGCACATGGCAAGTTGTGGATATAGAACATTCCTTTTTTGGGGGGATGTTCGATGGCTGTCCGGGTCAACCATTAGCAGACAAAACCTCCAACAGATATCAGAGGACGCACACCCACTTGGTTTAAGGGACATGTGCTCCAACTTCTTCACCCAAACGAGGGGAATCACATTTTGGTCTTTCGCCATGGAAATGCTCTGCTCGAGGACTGGGGTTGCCGTGGTGTTTCCAGACATCCCACCTGGCTCTTTCCATTGACTCTCGTGGTTTCGTGGTTTCGTAGCCGTTTCCTTTCAAAGGAGCATGATCAGTTCTATATGTCTATATATTAGATATATATATATATAAACCCTGGCAACTCACCTGCGCTTTTTCAGCTTCCGAGTGCCCTCAGGACCGGTGGTCTCTAGGACCCTGAAGAGGCCGATCTCACACCACCTCACATCCACACCTCGGCCGAGGTGTCCACGCGTTTGGATCCGCACGGCATCTTGCTCACCTCCCCGGGCGCCACCCTGTGCGCCTGGTTGCGGCAGCGGGCTTCGAGCGCGCTGCTGGCGTGCAGAGCGCGGATCTTCGGCGCCTTGGGCGACGATTCGACCGAGCCGCGTGGCGGGCCGTTCGTCGTCGTAATTTTGGACGAAGCAGCTTTTGGAAGTCCAAGAGCTCAGGCAGGTCTAGATATCTAAGTTGGCCAAGTGCCTTTTTGTTTAGATTCAACAAACACATGCAATGCACATGTTTCGATGATAAACCGATACCAGCACCGACTTCACAGGTCACCAATGGACACCTGTTGGGGCCTGACACCCCTCCATTTCGGAGACCTGTTGGGTCCGAAGAACTGTTGGATCCTCCTTCTTCTCTGCCCTTCTGGGCCGTTCCGTCCGTCCCGTTCCTGACCCATGGGACGCCCTGGACCACTGTTCGGTCCGAAAGGGACCCAACTCTGGACCCGAAGATGTTGGTGGTTCCTCTCCATAGAATAGCTTCTTGTTACTAGTAGTAAGGCACTTGTTACTACTAGCGTGGCACTTGTTACTAGTAGCTTAATTTAATTTGGATGAATGGTTCACCTCCCATGTGAAGAAGCGAAACACAATGCATGTCTGGTGGGAGCTGGCAAGCGCCGAGGACTCGACAGCGATTGGCGAGGAGTCTTCCAATTGGATACCGCCGCGCTAGATGTGGTCTTGCAGTTGCTGCCCAAGGACCCAAAGGGACAATTTGTTGCGATCGATCTGGCGTGTCCCTATTGGGAAAACCTAAGAGGGCGTGTCTTCAATTTGCCCTCTACACAGTTCGCGCCCTGGTTCAGGGGGAACTTGCAGAGATAGGCTTGTTGGTTTTATGGTGGGACGGCTGAGGTCTTGCAGTGCTTCTGTCCCGAAGTGAAGAGACATGATGTTTGGAGACCTCATGTCGGGATTTGGCCTAAATCCAACTCACAACAACCCCGTCTTTTTTCCACTGTCCGACCCCATTCAACACGTGTTTCAGTCAATTGAAGAAGCGCCGCCCTTACAAGAGTTCTCAGGACTTTGCATGCTGAAACGCCCGGGGTCTTGTGACAAAGGGTTCCTTTCCTTCAGGAGCCACATCCCTGAAAAGCGAACAGAGAATTCCAGAGTCGCTATTAGGTAAGCCACCATTGCTAGGTAGCCATCCCATCTCCAGAGTACATGGAATTGAATCGAAGAAGGACACGCTCCTTCTCAGCTCCTTTGGTGTTCGTTGACCTGTCACCTCTCGCCCATCGTCGACAGGAGCAAGTCGATGAGGCGGTCGGCGGTCGACCGGATGTGCGGGGAGGGCTGACGGCGTGCGGAGCGTCCGGCACGTGCGGAGCGTGCGGAGCGGCGTGGGTTCCCATACCATCCATCCAATGGAATACTTACATTAGGGTCATATCAATGGGGTAAATGTATGTGACTCTTCCATACATGGATCGTCTGGGGCTGGAAGATTGCCTCACGTGGTTTCACGTGACGAGCGTAGACATGGGAATGAGGGAATGAGGGAGGCTCCCACATGTAGAGATTCCTTTGGATGCAGCCGCCTCCATTGCCTACATTGGACGGCCGAATGGTTTAGAAGTTCTAAATACCTGAGGTGAAAGGATCGACTGACACAGGACGAGTGTTTGTTCTTTCTTCCAATGGAGGCTGGAAAGTTCAGCATGATTCAGTCGTTTTGTCGTTTTTTGACGGGGATCCTTTCTAATAACGGCTCAACGTTGATCTTAGGGTTTATCCAATTCCGAAACCGATCGCACCACAGCCACAGTAACATCAGGAACTCCGTCCAGCCGTCTTCCAAACTGAGACCCGATCGCCTCAGGTGATAGAGATGCCGACCGGATCAACACGCTCTCATCAACAGGGTCGATGTTCCATGCTCTTGAACAGCGAGCGCGAAGACGTTACCTACCGAAAACACCTCTCAAAGGGAATTCTTCGTGAGAAATACGGCACATCAGGTCCATCCGTCACCTTTGGTATTAACCTTGGGACCGAAACCCACGCGCCGCGCGCCGGACCTCCAGGCGCAGAGCGCCCAGGCCGCGGAGGTCACCGAGAGCGCAGCGCAGCAGTTGATCCAAGGCGAGGACGAGGAGGACGAAGTGACGGTCCCCAGACCATCCCATGGCATATATACCCACATTGGGGTGGTTGAAAAGTGGTGAATGTAGGTTGGAGGCCATCGTCCCAATGGAGTGTTTGGGGTCTTTTTGAGCTTAGCTTTATTTTTTTTCACCAAATACGCCCGGTGTCCAGGTCATCGTCCTGCGAACGTTGAATGTTCGGTGGTTTAGATTGTTGTGCTGCTTTTTGAATCTAATTAATCCATGGCCTTGTAAGAGCCTAGCTCGTGGTCGCTATTATATTTGTGGTGATGGATCAGACTCATGGATTTATGATTTGTTTTTGTTTCGTTGTGCTGTCAAACTGTTTGGGTGCGGGCCGAAGCGGATCGATGATCGCCCCGAGTTGTGCATCCAGTTGCCATGCTTCGTTTGCAACCCAACAACCCAACAGCCCCATTGGCCACTTTTTTTGACTTCAAGCCTTCTTGAATCTGCTGGTTTTCCCTTTCCGTGACCAACGTTGGACCCACGTTTTTTCCGCGGTCAACAACATTGGGAGGCGAAGTTTCCACGAATCCGAGGGGGTTTTCGGTCTGTTTACGTCGACCGCAGACGACAGCACACACCGCACGACGCGCCGTGGCGCTCGAAACGGCAGGGCTTCAACAGAAGCTGGCGAGCGTCGCCTTGGTGCTCTATGACCGGCAGCGGCGTTTGTTGGCATTGAAGTGGCGGCCCAGTGCCTTCTTTCCTCAGCCTCAAACGGTGAGCTGGGCCGGCGGGTAGGGGGTGAAGAGGCCATCAATGGACCCTTTGAACGTGTTCGACACAGGCCAGGGGCAAGATTCAGGGAGAACAGTAATCCAATTGTGATGGACTCTCCGTCCAATTTCCTGTAGAGGGACCAAACACATCCAAAAACCGGTGGAACCAACGAACCCGTCCGCCGTTGCTCTGAAACTGTCCAACTCGCGCCGCCCGGCTGGTGAAGGTCCAGGTCTCAAGGTGAACATGGGAAAATGGGTTGGAGAAGATCATTGACTTGTGGACGAGCCCAGATAGAAAAGCCATTAAGCTATTCCCCCCTCTCAAGCTATAATATAGCCATTTAAGTCTATTTTCACAAATGTTTTCCCAATGAACATGGAGTGAATCCATGTCTCTTGTAAAGAGTGTGTGTTTTTCTTATTGATTTTTCTTTGCATGTTGGGAGAATTCAATGCGCTTCTCCTTCAGCGCATCGTGGCTGATTTTAGTAGATCTTAAACACAATATCATGGACAATGGAATCAATTAAGTAAATTCAATAATAGAACCCTAAACACATCAAGTGCTCCCACATAATATGGAGTTCTGCAGATTGGGAGCAATGACCTTTAGAAGACAAATTGCCACTAGCTCCTAGATCTCTCCCTCTGAAGAAAGAATCTACGAAGTCAATGATTGTACCCCGATTGAAGTTGCCACCCGCCTATGTGTGAGTGTGAACATATTTCAATATATCTCAAAAGATGCTTAGGTGTCAACATGTCTACATGAACAGCCACTGGGACCAAATGGATGTGATGTCGAACCAAATGGATGAGTTGGACCTCTCCCATTTTGTGTCTTTGGAATTGGTTTCTCTCATCCACTTCTGATTGGGACTCTACACTTCTGATTCGACGTCTGTGGTCTCGTTGGTTTCAACGGTCGGTCTCCACGTCTCCGCCCGGTCTCCACTTTCGACCGGTCGAACCAGGGGGGTTCAGCCGTTCCGCCAGGTGCTGATGGGTTCCGTTCCCCACACGGTGATCGAGCAAGGTGGGGGTCCTCCGCCGGTCGACCGACGGAGCGGGGGGGGGGGGGGGCCGCAGGGCTGCAGGGTCAGGTGCCGTTGATCCTGGTGGGTGGAGCAAAAGCGGCAGGTTGGCACCTGCCCTCTGTTAACTTGGAACCTCAACTCTAGAGGCTATGCACGAGCCTAGACTGGCCTAGACTAGACTATTGTTTCGTGTTCGGTGGTCAAGCAGGGTTGCCGACTGAGAGATAGCTAGAAGAGATGGCCTGAGATTGCAAAAATATCTACTAAGTCTATGCAGTAGATTTGCTGACGCGCTGCGCTGGTGAATGGTGTTCTTCTGATTTGGTATCCTATACTGGATTAAGTTGCAGGTCCTTCTTGAAGACCACACTCGTGTGCTGCGGGGGCATATTGGAGATTCATGCATCAGTGCCCAACGCTATGCACTTGCAAGTAAAAACAGCGATCACCAGGGCCTGTTCTTTTCGCCCACCATCGCTATTCGTGGGTCATCAGGCAACAGCTCACTACTCTGCAAGCTTAGTCTCCCACACCTTCGACCTTGGTGTTCTTGGCCTTCGTGGTTCGCCCGACTGCGAGCGTTTCTGGGGAGGAGACGACGCACCCCTCTGTGTGCCCAATGTGCTCTGCATCTTATCGCACGTCTCGGCACTGGCAGAGGCTCACCTGGCGGGGAGGTGTGGAGGATCCTTCCGTCGGGGAACGGCACCGGAGGTTGACCTGGAGTTCGTCCACGTGTGGAGAACACGTGATGAGTCGCCCGGACGTTCGTCTTCGTTGTGACGAGTCGCCCCAGCAACGGACTCCCACTGTACATGGAGCCACAACAGCGTTCTCCGCAACAGGGGAGCCACATCTGGTGCCTTGTCTGACAAGTTTGGACGATCGATCCTCCTCTGGGGTTGTAGGAACTTCAACACTTTTGAAGCAAACAACTCGAAAGCTTTTGTCGTGTTTAAGACGCGCCGGCCACCTACAACCTGCCTCACATTGGCTGTGGAGGAACAAATTACATTGGCTGTGCATGTAGGCAATTAGATCATAGTAGATGCAAGGAGAGTGTGATGTTGTAGCCCACTTGTTGCATGTTTCCCGATCCTTCGACTGGAACTGAGCTGGCGCAGGGATTGGCCCTAGACTTAAAGATGAAGGCTCTCTGCTGACATGAAAAAAAGCGCGCTCTTTGGCTGCGAATCCAAGCTCGGAGCAGGTCAGGTAGGTGGCAGGAAAAGGGCAACTGCAACAGCGTGGGTATGCACTAAAACAAGGAGATCTCGGCAGTTCGATCCCCAGTCGAAGATGTAGAATATCTAGACCAGTCTACCCAGCCAGGGCCAAGGGGTCTCTCTATTAACTCACATACACATCGTCCTGGCGCTGGTGGACGACCTTGGACCTTGGACTACGAAAGAACAGAGACGTACCGTTGGTGGAAAAGCAAGTGATTAGGCTGACGCCACGGGCCCCTCACGTCAGCCTCGTTTCACTTGCGATGACATAGATCTGAGGCACGCTCCGATAGTTTTTGTCAGTGTTTCTTTATCAGTACAGTGGTTTCAGAGTAGATGGCACAAACCCCTACATGTCTTTTAGATGGGGGTCCATATAAACCACCTTTTGGGGATTGTGCCATCTACTCTGAAACCACTGTAGATGAGATAATGATGAGATAGTGCCAGCTAGTTCATGTTTGCTTGTCATGTCTCCGGCAGTCTCATGACAAGGGATTGACAATGAAGTGTTTTTTAGTGACTCTGGCTGTTTCAATCAATCTTTATGCATACGGAAATAAGACACCAGCTATTTATTTTATATAGTGACCCTAACAAGTTGAGGGAGAAGAAGGAGCATTTCTTCTGTCAAAAGACACATTGCACTTAGTGTATGTGGATAATCAGGTAGGACAGTGACTTCACCCAATGTCATGCCTCTCCTTCCTGGAACGCACCAAGCCAAAGTAGCTGGAGATTTTTGATGAACAAAAGGTTAAGGACTGCTGGTTGGATTCTGCCAAGTTCACCCCCTCAAAATCGTCAAAAGGATCGAGCTCGTCCTTTGCCCAACATCGAGATGGAACATGCGTGGAAGTAGCTGGTAGAGGAAGCCCCGAAGACGGGGCCTTTGTAGGTGCTTTCCCGAACAAACATGACCCATGCAGATGGACTGGCTCAGAACATGTCAGATTCTAAGGCGCAAACGTTGGCCGACCAGTGCGAAGTGATGCGAGTCGTAGGTTTTAAGACAACTTTTGGGGACATGACCCACAGGAGGAGCAGCTTGGCGCATGCGTGTTTGAGCATCGTAGAGGGGTGAGTTCAACATAGTTCAACCAATTTCATGCCCGCCCAGCGATGCATCTCTCATGTCTCTCCAGGCTCGCTCAGCTTGCTAAGACTGAGAGGTTTGTGCCGATGTTTGTTCAGCGCAATCTTAAGACAGCTGTATGTGCCGATGTTTATTGTCACATTTAGATAAACACAAACACTTAAGAACAACACGTTTTTTCTTATCCACTGAAAGCTGTAGTAATAACCTTTCTGAACACACATGGCTGTGGGCCTCACCAGCAAACCGACTGGGCACGACTTAGGACTCGCTACATGGTGGACTGGTCGGGCGAACACGGTGGGTCACGCCCCATCCACATACCCTGACATACCAACATAGGTTGAAGAACCCTATATGCTATAGACTATTCCATAGGTACCCTAGTATGGTCCCATAAGGTCACTCAAACCTCTTTTGGTATCATCCTTACCATTTTTCTCTCTAGAACATACTGCTGGGGCGCTGCGGTGCTGCGGCCATGCTCTTCAGTGCGGTAGATTCCTGGTTGGCCGCTCGATGGAAGTGGGGCATGGCTCTCAACCAAATGAGACCAGCCGATGGCTGTGGGTCAAAACCGTGTTGACCACCCACCACCCGAGAATGAAGAGACTGCCAGACATGGTCAACCTACCAGGGAAATCTGGGCTCTAGGTGTCGTTTTGACCCACGGCCAGTTCTCCCCTCACTCAGCAAACAACGACTGACCCATGGCTGGCGCCGGGGAACGAACTTTTCGACGTTCCTCTCAGGAGCGGGTGAGTGGTGGTCAGATCCGGCGACCTCATCCTGGGGAGAAGGAGTGCTTGCAGTGCCGCGTTCTAGGCGACGGGCTGACGTGGTGGTCGACAGATGGGCAGAGCCGTGGTGGTGGTTGAAGGAAGGGACACGAGTTCAAAGAGGTCAATGGAGGCTGCCAGGCTGCATGAACGCACACAGAAGTTGCTGTGGTGAATCTGGTGAAGCTTCACGGGATGAGGTGGTTTATGTGGGCCATGGGTTACTTCACATGAGAACTCACCCTTTGAGTTCACGCTTGGCCTCAATTGTTGAAGATGGCTGTTGTATTTGAGGAGGTCAATAAAACCCACCAAGTCAACAATTTCTCACACCCAAACTCCCCCATTCCGCTTCTGCCACCGATACGTTTTTCACCTCCAAGTCGTCCGTTGACATGGGGCTTTGAATGGTGTGAGCGGTCTGAGTTAGATTTGTGCCAAGAGCTCTCTTCATCGAAAGAGCCTTCAAAACAGATTCAGGAATATGTGTGCAAAATAAGCACAACATACTATCAGCTGTCCAAAGCGCCAACTACTCACAGAAATCACATACCTCCATCCCTTTAAAACTGGCCATTCTCGGACCTGCCCTTTCTGCCCCATTTCCGCACGACCTGCGACGGACGCTGCCTTCGCCCTTCTACCGCGAAGGCACGGGGGTGTTCTTGGCGGCTGGGCTCCACAGCGCATTGGAAGCCACCCGCGCGCGGAGAGGCGCCCCCGCCCCGGGAGCTCCTGGGGGGGCCGGTCTCGGACTGGGCCGTGGAGACCGGTCGTTCGTTCCGGAGAGCTCCGGCCGGAGCCTGGGCTCGTTTCGGCTGGGGGAGGCCGTCTCAGATCGATCGCAGTGTCGGTGTGGAAGAACTGAGCGAAGAGGGGGGTGGCCGACCCGTCCCGGCCCGTGCCGGCACTTGGGTCGGACCTCTAGTCACAAAGGGATGGAGAGAACCGAGGCAAGCAACGCGAAGCCAGGCTGACTCGTGTTCCTCTCATGTTCATGTTGCGTTTCACTTTTGGGGTTCCAACAGGAGGGTCCAGCACTTCACCTGAATTCATGGTTTTCTCTATTTGAAAGATACTCCAGGTCCAACATCCGACATTTCGGGGCAAATACACGTTTAATAGTCTTTACAACATATATACTATAAAGCACACTGCAGACAGTTGTTTTCAATTGAATCGGCGCATGCTCCATGAGCCCCATCGGATAAACACCTCGCATGGTGCCGGACGCCATCTGGACGAAAAACGGTTGGAAGGCTCCTCGAACCGGCGCTTCTTCGGGCTGGTCAGTGGGCTCTTCCTCTTTTGCGCCACCTGGCGGGCCATCACACCAACGGTTCCACACCATGGGCATCATGCGGACGTTTCAGAGATGGATGTGGCTGGGAAGACTGCAGAGACTGCAGAGTCTTGCGAGAATGCTCAAAAAGAGAGGGGGACGGAAGGTGGAGCCCTATTAAAATATGGAGACCTACCCAGGAAACGACCCCCTGTAGGAAGGAACATCGACCAGAGCCCATTGATTGGGAGGTTGTTAAGACACACACACACAGACCCATACATAGTTCTCTGATGTGGCTGGGACGTGCGCCCTCACCGACTGAGAAGATGTGAAAAGTGCTGGAACGAACAGTTGCGACAGCTGGAGCTTTCATGCTTTTAAGATTTGTGTTTTTATTTTAACTTCGTAGAGTCAGAGAGAGGTCTTCTTGACGCTCTTGGAGTCGTTTTCTATTTTTGTTCAATGATAATGGAGAAGAGTTGGGGCGTATCTCGAGTTTCTCGAATGATTTGCTTGGCCATTGTTGAAGCTTATGGAACGATCTTCCAACCCAGTGGCCTTGGGGTCAACTGAAAGACATGCTGAACATGGGACACCCTGCTACTTTTGGTTGGAGAAGTGCTTCAAACCTGACATCGAAAGTCAAACTAATGGTTTGTATGGTTGGTAATGAATCTGAATGAAAGAGCAGAGGAGAAGGAGGAGGGTCTGACAGGTCTAAGTCTATTTTGGGGTGCATGATTTTCAATGGACCGCTTGGTCGCTATGCGACGCTATGCGCAGCATCGTGCAGCTCTTGGCTCATGCACTTTCCAAAGCGGATGACTTCAAGAGAGTTTGGCCGTTGAAAGCATCTTGAAAGAATGCAGTCCGTTTGGCCATTGGTGAGCCAAGCCGCCCCCGATTCGATCTTCCACACCTGGCAGATCCTGGCAGCCTGACAGGTATCCAGAATGCTCTCATCTCCCACTACGTTTTTTCGATGCAGGAACGAATTGTCACCTCCTCTAAGGTATCTCTTGGGTGTCCGACATCTCAAGGTGCACGGATGCTCCAACCATTCCCCCCAGAATGGCCAAGAGTTTGGCCGCTATCAGGCGGAGAATGGAGGCTTCACAACGGAAACGGTCATTTTCGGACAACCCCTACGTCTTTAAACGCTGTCTCCCTGTCTCGAGTTAAAGAAAGGCCGCAGTGTCCGTTTTGGGACGGTTCAAAGAAATATTGAAGGGTATTTTAAGACAAACCGATCCTTTCCATCTTTTTCAGGTCTGTTTCAAGCCAAAACTGCCCCAAAAAATCATTTTTTTCAATCCTCGATGTCTATTCTTCGGCGCCTTCCATGGCGGAGTGGACCGGGCTCGCTCCAGCAAGGCGCGGGCGGAGTTGGTGAGTCGGGCACTCGGAGGAACCCAGGAGTAGAAGTGGGTTCGTCCGACAGTTTCTTCGGGAATGTTTTGGAGGGCTTTGTGTGTTTAAATGTTTCGGGGGGTTTTGATTTGTCTATTTATTTTTTGTAACATATATATATATATGTTTCAGTTATGCATCATTTTGGGGGGCTTTGATGGGCCACCTCCTGGGAATGGAGGCGCCCATGTCGATTCCTCCGTGTCGATTCCTCGATGCCATGGGTCGTCTTCTCAGATTCTGGCGTGTCCCTTTGACTGCAAGGAACTCACCCAGTCTGTGAAGATAGTGAGTTTCAATCTAAGCATGAGTCCAGCTCTGACCATTTTTTGGGGTCTTTCTCCACTGCCAGCCTCCAAGCGCAGTGAAGCCGCACGTGCCGCCGCCGCCTGCAGTCCTCGTCCGCCCCTGGCGGCCGTGTCCTCGCCGCGCCGGCGGCCTGGCGCTGCCCCCGTCCGCGACGAGCGGACGCGGAGCCATCGGACAGGACGGTCCGGCTGGTCCGGTGCGTCCGGTGCTTCTTGCTACATTCGTAGCTTCTTGTTCCGTTCGTAGTATATGGCCTCCAACCCAATAGCGATGGCCTCCACCGTGTGTAGCTGAATGAGTACTAGTAGAGCCACAAAGGTTGTGACAGAAAATGGACTGGAATGCCCTTATTACTAATAGCGACTTGTTACTAGTAGCGATGGCCTCCACCTAATAGCGTCCTTGCTACGGGAAGCTGGGGAGTTCCCAAAAGCCATGTTGCCGAGTCCTTCTGGGTTAACGTCTATGTACCTAGGTTGGTGGTAGAACTGCTGGCCGTGGAGAGCTTTGATGGAATTGTGAGTTGTGAGAAGCCCAGTCATTTGTGACTGTCAGCCTAGTTTTGTTGGGGGAGTTTTCATCTCAGCTCATCCCCGATGCAACCCCAGCATCCCTGGGGCAGGGCTTTTGGAATACATTCGAACACTTCCACAGGACTGGCAGGAGCAAAAGGACCTCGCACGGAGGTTGCGGCGCTTGGATTCCAAGGAGCTGTATGAGGCGCCGCGGCGGTTTCGAGGAGAGAATGCAAGAAGTGTTGGGACTGGAGATATTTCAGGTTCTGGGAATGTTATGGAATGATGAGATGCCAATTGACCATGCAGATGAGGGGTTGGGATCATCCAACATGTGAATGCGTGGAGACTGCAACACGGACGTTCGTGTCTTTGTTCCTCACGGGAAGTGAGTGTCCCGACTACCAGTTCTTCGTGAAGCTTCACGTGGGGGCTTTGACGGACCACTACCTGGTCGATGGCAATCCAAATGATCCTGGGAATGACACACATCAGCTTCATGGCTTCTGTCCCCTTGGCTTTAGTGGCAGCCCTGCTTGTGGCCCTGGCCAGCCATATCTCTTACTGAGGAAGTTAAGTTGCTTGCTTGGCAGGTCCGAACTGTTCAAAAAATGGTAGTTGAGCTTTTTGAGTTTAAATTTTTGAAGAAAAGATACCACAATGTTCTTCAGGGCACAGCATCTCCTGTTGATGGATCGAATACCACCCTAATGTAGTCAAATATGGCAGTCCCATGGAGTGTTTGGGTACCTATCATCTCTTCTAGTATAGTGACATTCAAAGCTGTGTCCTGCTCTCTGAATGCTCCAGTTGTCCTCCACCTGAGACGGCTCAGTTGGATGACCAGGTGGTGCACGGGCGCCTGGACAGCTTCGACTTCGTGTCGCTGCTCATGGCCTTCCAGCGGCTCTCAAAGCTAGGGCTCAGGACGACCCAGGAGAAACGGCCCGTCCAACCCAACATGTTTCTTTTTTTTTTTTGCAAACACCAACAGCATGGCGTGAGAGGACCCAATAGGATGTGTACTAAAGTACCAAGGAGAGCCTCTTCGGAAGGGATCCAATTTCCATTCTCAGAGAGGGGTCGAAGATGGTTGGATTGTTGTTTGAAAAAGAGCACGCGAGCGAGAAAAGCGAACCACTTTAGCCACTTAGTCACTTCGATGGTGTCGGCCCTATGGTATTCCCATTGCTACTATTCTTTGCATCCTGAAGAGATGCGGCAATGCCATGTGTGAACAGGTGTTCAATGGGCATCAGCATCGGGACTCATGCTGCATTGAAGCGAAGAGTTCACTCCAGGGGACCTCCATGACCGGATCGATTGACATCTACTCACGGTTTCAGCTGCTTTCTCATTGCGTTCGCATCCGGCCACTCGTGGCCGACTACTAGAAGTCGAGTGGCCATTGATTTCGAGAAGACGAGCGACTCGACGGGCGAAAGCTCTCGTGCCATGTTGTTTGTTCTTCCTGTGGGGTCGTCGGATCCTTCTCGAGACATTCGAGGAGCCAAAACGAGTCAAACAAGAGGTTTTGAACGACTCTTGAAGCAAACGACTCTGATAGGTGCCATCACTCAAAACATCACGAAAACTCATATCACCATTCTTCCTTTCTTGGATCCTCAGCCTCTTTGGCCGCTCTTCGTTTGCTTCGTTTGTGCCAGAAGTTCGAGTTCGTGCTTAAAGCCATTGAACCAACCAACGACTCTTCGGGAGAAAGGTCTCTCTCAGCGTCGTGGGACCAGGAAGAGCAGCTGGCACGTGAGCTCATGCAACGCCTAGAGAGGAGAGAGCGGGGGGGGGGTACATGGATCATGTTTTTTCTTTTGTTTTGAAGACTCTTCGAGTGCATGTCCTTTTTTTTTGCTTTCATTTGCTTTCTATTTTTTCTGGTTTTGTCGTCGTTGTGGTGGTAGATCCAATTATTACCCTGTCACCACAGAGAGAGAGAGAGAGAGAAGCTTCTCCACTGCTTGAACCCCCGAGACCCACTTGGACCTGTGAATCATGGCCAATGGGGCGAAGAGACCTGAGTGAACCCTTCTCCTTCCGCATCCTCACCGCCTCGCCAGGCTCCTGAATAGCAACGTGGCTCGGGAGCGAAACCGGGCCAGGCCAGGGAAGATGACCTCCACGAACGGCCCAGGTGGAGGTGTTGTCGGTGTAGCCGGTGTTGTCCACCCACGGCGCGTCCTTCTGTCCTGCGGCACCGAGGTGCCGCAATGTGTCCTTTGGTGCTTCGGCGCTTTTTTCCTGAAGAAGAAAGAACGGCCCACGAGCCGTGAGTGAGTTTCTGGGGGCTCACACAGGAAGGGCTGCTCGGACGGGAGGATGCAAAGCCTGTTAAGAAGCGAACACCCGAAGGGCTCCTCAGAGGGTTGATGGGATTGGCATCCCTAGACCCTCGTCGCAACGCTCGAGATGGGGTCAGTTCACAACGTTCAATCTGGGCGAACCAGACACCTGGTACTGGCTCAAGAATGGATCTTGGACATGCCCATTCTTGAGCCAGTACCATGAGTCTTCGTTTTTGAGCGCTGGTTACCATATGAAGTCCAAGTAACATGGCACATCTTAACCAAGAGTTGTTTCACCTTTGGCCCCTTTTGGTGTCAAGAAACATGTCAACATGGGACGCTGGATCCGTGCTTGGATGTTTGACGCCCGAATCAGGAGCTCCAAGAACTCTGTGTTGATCTGTGATTCTGAGGGTGTAACACTGCTCCTTGTTTGGGCATGGTTGGACGGTTGTGTGGGCCTGGCTCTGGCAAGAAAGGGTTAGGAGTTAGGAAACTATGATCATCCTATAATGTATTATTATACCTCGGGCCAGAATGATCCAGGGTCCTTGATTGACCACCATACTGGACCATACTGTTAGAGGAATACGTGTGGTGGCATTCGTCAGCATGTTTCGCACCCACACGGGTCGCCTTGGAGGAAGTCATCACTTCAATGACTTCAACCCTGGCGTGTGTGGTTGCCAGGTTCGGTTGGTTGTCAGGGTCTTCGTCTTTTTTGTTCCAATTGATTGGTGTCCAAAAGCTTGAGTCCCCACACCTCCTTGTCAGAGTTGCCAAGGAATCCCGAGAACACACAGAAGACCTTGTAGAGGCGGCTTTTTGGTTGGGTCTTTGCTTGACATTGGACGTCCACCCACCTCCGGTTCGTTGCGGGCTGAGAGCTCACCGGTGAGGCGCTTCCCGTGGCTCTCGCAAGCTGCGTGGGCGGCGGCCAAAGTGCTGCCGCAACTCCCTGAAGAGTCGAGGAGCTTTCTCGCACAGGCGCGCGGTCGGCCGAGCGGGGCACGAATCCGTCGGAGACACCGAATCCTCTTAGTGGTGGGAGTTGCGAATCCGTAGATCTTAGGACTAGGTGGATGACGTGTGAATGTTAATCTTGGATCTTGGGCTAATCTTGGGTACTAAGTCATTGGTGTTGCCATTGAAGATGTTCAGAAGTCTGGGACGCAATTACATGGGAGAAAGCAACACTGCATTCACTTTGTCCACTGGTGCAAAATGAAAGTCGAAGGAGCCCCTACATTGCCCTACATGCCTCCTTCAGCAAAGCTGACTTCTGGTGTTGACCCACTTGTGATGAGAGCTTTATTTTTTTGAAAAGGAATTTGAGTTTCGTCTTCTTGGTGCCTGTCATGCTGACGATATTGTTTTTCCCTTTGGGAAAATCCATCAGTAATTTGGGGAATAGAATGAGAAAGCTTCTAGGTTGGAGGCCATGGCTATTAGGTTGGAGGCCATGGCTAGAAGGTTGGAGGCCATTGCAATTTGTTTAAGTCTTTGCTTGCTATTTTTGGTTTGCTTTTTCGGTGTCCTGTGCTCGAGTGAGAAAATCATCTTCCAACTCTTCCAGGTGAGCCAAGCCAGCGCCGCAGCCCTCCGTGTTTCAAAGCCCTTCGATGCCAGGCGGGGCGCTGAACGCTTCCGCTCCGCGCCACTGGGACGAAGCGGCGAAGAAAAACCGATCCTGGGTCCGTGCATGATGGGGTGGGCGGCTCCTCGCTCTCCCTTGGGGTGGGTGGCATGCGACCGCTCCGCGGATTCACCCATGGCGATACTCCAAACCAGATCCGGAATCTGACGAGGCCCCAAACATTTGGAGGCCCCGAAAAGGAAGCCCTGAAGTGGCATAACCTATAACCTTCGAGCGCGCCTCTGTCGATCCTTCCGCCAAAGAAGAACCGATTTGCTAGATAAAACATCAGTGGTGCTCTATCCTTTGTTTGCATGGGATGTCATCACAGTCCTGTGGGGTGGGAAAAATAGCAGACCGCAGAACGTTCAATTGTACGTCTCAAATGTATTTGTTTTCTTCAATGTGTCATTTAAATTCATTTAAGAGAAACAATCACTCCGTCCATTTGTTTGCTACCTACGGACGCAAAGAAGACTGGCCTGGGCCTATGCCGCGGTGCTGAAATTTCACTCTCTGGACAATTCAACGGGAAGGATCTTGATGCCATTCCGCTTCCGTTGCTGGCAGATGAATTCAATCTATAGAAAGCTTTCGAACAACGCCAACGCAAGGACGCTACTAGTAGCTCCTGGCATTACAACTAGGAACAAGAAGCTACTAGTAACAAGGGCATTACTAGTTACTAGTAGCAAGGATGCTACCAACTATACTAATTAGTTTGAAATGTCCCGATTTCCTGCATCCATGCAGGGAGTTCCCTCCGGAGATGCACGGGTCGGTGTACCCGGGTCTAAGCTTGCTCTCGAATTTGTTTGTTGAGCCTTTGTTGTCATTACCCATGGGGTTTCTGGTGAAATTTTGGTCCAAACATCGCTCTGTTCGGTGATGTTGGAACCAATCACTTTGCCTTGCACGCATCCAGTGCGTGCACGGAGCAGCTTCACCGGCACAGAGCACTTCTGAGGTCAAGTATAGCCAGCGTCGATGCCCGCCGCGTAGATGTGAAATGTCGAAATTGTAGTTGTCTAGATGATTTTTTTGGTGCCTTCTCACTTGTATCTCAACACCTGTATCTAAACACCTGTTGCTACACACCTGTATCCAAACAACTGTATGTCATCTATGTAGGTGTGTTGTATCAGTTGCATCACCGTCTCTATCCACCTGTATCATGACGACGACAACGACGAGGAGGAGGAGGAGATGATGATGATGATGATGATGATGATGATGATGATGATGATGATGA